CTTCTCTCTTTAAAACACTGAGAATAAACCTTCAAAACTCAGTTTGACCTGCATGTATGATCTGCAGCCCCATGTATACTGCATTATAATAATCCAATCTTGAAGTAACCAAGATGCATGAATGACTGAAAGGCCTCCCAGTCAATGGAGAAGGTACAATTGGTTATTGCAGGTATCAGAAGATTCTATATGGTAAGAAATACAGCGGTTGCCCATCGTACATTTAAAGTGTCCTGCTAAAATGTTTTACAGCTGTTCATTCAGTTGCTGCCAACAGTTATCCTTTTGTAGAATAGATGTTTGAGCTGACAAAGCGCTCAGGGTCTGGCTTGAAGTTTGAATTCCTTTTGTTTGAATTGACTTACTTACGTTTTGATGTTTTTCCCAGATCTGATAGGTAAATGTATTGGGGAAGATGCAAAATATGAAGGCATAAGACTTCTATTTGATGGATTGCAACAGCCAGTACTTAACAAACAGGTGGGTTCTATTGAACACACGAGGCACCTATTGTGTTGAAGGGTAGAATATTTGTCAAGATTTAATTTACAGTTTTGAAATAGTGTGCACTATTACAAGTGCATGCACAGCCGTCTTGCATTAATAACTAGTATGCAAAACAATGTGCAAATAAATAATTTTCAAAGTTTTAGAAATGTATTTCCAAATACTGTTTCTGTATAACAGATGTGTGGCTGAGAGAGCAGCATAATTAATAAGCATAGCATTATTATGTTTCTGCAGTTAATAGCAGGAACAATGGTCAAAGAATTAAGCGCTCCAGAATAGCAAATGTCATTAATTGGCTAAGTTAGGCTAAATAGGCCAAACTTCTTGGTATTTCCAGACTCAAGAGGTTGGATGCGGCCAGAGAATGCTGTTTGTGTTAGTCATAGCCAATCTGTTTTACATTTGTAAATGAAGCTAATCTTTGTATCAGAGTGAAGTGGGGGAGGAATTTATGAAATGGAAAGCCTGGAGATATGAGGAGGGATAAACGGAAGAATCTAGGCAATATATTTTTTGAATAACATTTTGCTGAGAAAATATGGGAAAGGAGGAAAGGAATGCAGGGAAAAAGGTAAAAGATAGAGATCAGGAATGGAGAACTTTAGAAATAGATAGATTAAATAGATGGTAGGTAGGTTAGGTAGGTAGGTAGGTAGATGATAGATAGATAGATAGATAGATAGATAGATAGATAGATAGATAGATAGATAGATAGATAGAGTAGAACCTTCTGGTCACAACCATAATTCGTTCCATAACTTTGGTCGCAATCCAATTTGGTCATGACTCGAACCTAATTTTGGAAATTTGGCACTTAGAAAAAAATTGGCGTGGAAGTGCAAATCGGCCGTGGAAAAAAAAGTGCATTTTGGGGTTGGAACCCAATTTGGTCATGGTCAGAAGCATTTGTCACCAGAGGTTCCACTGTAGCTAGCTAGCTACATAGATGATAGATAGATAGATAGATAGATAGATAGATAGATAGATAGATAGATAGATAGATAGATAGAGGGAGAGAGAGAGAGGAAGGAAGGAAGGAAGGAAGGAAGGAAGGAAGGAAGGAAGGAAGGAAGGAAGGGAGGAAGGAAGGAAGAAAGGAAAGAAAGAAAGAAAGAAAGAGAGGAAGGAAGAAAGGAAAGAAAGAAAGAAAGAAAGAAAGAAAGAAAGAAAGAAAGAAAGAAAGAAAGAAAGAAAGAAAGAAAGAAAGAAAGAAAGAAAAAGAGAAAGAAAGGA